CTCTGAGGATGGTGTGTCCATTGTTCAAGGAGTGTCTTCTCTTGGTTAACCACCCCCCTTTTTTCTCTTTCTGAAAAACAACCTCATAGACTTACCCAGAAGCATGGTTGCATGGTTATTTAAAACCCAGTCAAGATGACCCAAAAGATTAACCATCATGCCATCTGCCCTACATTAGTTTTATACCTACCCAACTGGATTTGATGATAGCTTTCTGTTCATTCTCAGTTTAAACTTTAAGGCATGCTTCTTTAAGGCAAGAGAGAGACACAACTGCCAACCATCACCACTACAGCAACAGGAGAACAAGTACCTGTTTAATTAAGCAAGAGGTGTAGGGAATCTTTTTGTCATGAACTTTTCGTACAAACATTTTTTTTCTCCCTCTACGACTCCAGTGGAGTCGTAGGTTCCAAAAGCCATGCCCAAGGGGGCAGATAGTCCACCACCAAGAATCCTGGGCTGGAGACTGTGTTCCCGTCATTTCTCCTTCTGCTCCTGCCATCCTCACCCCCCTTTCATCTCTTCCCCTACTTCCCTACCTGTTCCTCTTTCCACAACTTTCATTTCCCAAGGTTCCCGTGTCCAACAGGGGTCTGAGTCTGATCTCCCGCTAAGGACACCTGTAGCAAACGGTCCCTTTCTGCTGACACTGACTCAGAGATGCCTTTCTGGTGCCACACATGCTTGGTGAAGGTGTCTGCTAGCGCCTGATGTCTTAAATTGAATGTGAGGGTTGGGAGAAAAAAAATTGGCAGCAGCAAAAGGCTTGTGAAGGTGCAACGGCAAAGTATGAATTCAAAATCAAGCATGTCACAACTCTGAGGTACTCTCTGGCAGCACTTGCTGAGGTCGCACGCACGGCTTCACAGCAGCCTTGGTTTTGAACATACAACAGGCGCACCTGCACCGCGCATTCAACACACCACACGCCACCAGCAAATGCTGCTGAAATGCCTCAACTCAGGTTCAAGACTCTGGTATGTTTTCCTCCTGTGTGCAAAAGTTTTCTGTTCTTACTGTGATGGGGAACCCCACAGAATCAGCTGATCCGAGCCAGTGAGAGATAACAGACTCAGGTCTGACAAATGGGGAGCCTGCATAAGGCCGAACTAGACTCCCTTAAAACAGGTGACAATGGTGTAACTGGGACAATACATGAGGTCCCTGGCAGTGGGTCCAAGATCTAACACTAATGTACAAACTGACTTAGTGGAGCCCATTCTATTAGGAGAGGTACCTTGCCCAGCCTAGACGCAGGGGTGTGGGGGTAGGGGAGGTGCCTTGGTCCTGGCTCAAGGAGATGATGGGACAGACTCAGTAGACTTCTTTAGGGGAGGGTTTACCTTCCCTGAGGAGCAGATGAGAGGTAGAGTTGGGGGTGGGTGGAGTGGGAGGAGAGGAGAGAAGGGGAACTGGGATTAGAATGTAAAAAATAAATTAACAATTTTTAAAAAAAGTTTTCTGTTCTTATACAAGCAATGGCTTAATTTTGGAAACAGAGACTTTCAGTATCTTCCTGCCGTCATCTCTCAGCATACAACTGCCAAATTACTGTCTTTGGATTGCAGTATGTTGGGATGTTTAGTTTTAGAAATTGCTATCTGAAAGCCCAACATGTTTCATAAAAAAAAAAAAAAACACATTCTGATTTGGTACTGGGAAAGAATTTCCAACAGTATCTGAAACGGCCCTATATGCACTTCTCTCTTTTCTGTACTATGTGTTCAAGTGAAGCGACATCTCAACAGTGATGATTATAAACTGAAAATAATGATCAACTCCAGAAAACATTAGAGATAGTCTCTTTCTGCAGTACTAAACATCCAGCCAAAACCTAATCCTTTCTGTAAAACTAAACAAAACCACCTCTCTCATTAGTATGCAAATCTGTTTTAATTGCCAACAAAACATAAATATATATATATAACAAAGATTTCTTTGTGATTTATCATCAGTGTTGGTTGTATATTCATTTTATGCATGCATGTATACATACATACACATACACACACACACACACACACACACACACACACACACACACACACACACACAGGGTCACAAAAACCGCTTGGCTATCAAGAAGTTCCAAGTAGAAAAGTTTGAGAAGCTGTGGTCTGCTGTATCGGTCATTGAACTCAAGACTGCCGGGGAGCTGCTCCGTAGCCAGTCACCAAGAGCATGCTCTCCCCTTCCCCTGTTTTGACTGCGTCTGATAGGCAAGCAGCCCTGTGGTTAAGGGTTGAAAGTTATAGGTCTCTTTTCCTAACTCCTTAGCCACCTAGTCAATGGAGAGTTGCCATTGTGCCTGCCTTTGTGTTTCCCCAGAATTGATTTCCAATTTTAAAGGCTCTGCTTGCTCCTGTCATTTAGACTTTGTTGACTTTTACTTAAATGCAAACACATTTTAGAGACAGCGGAACAGGGAAAATGCAAATAGGCTCACCTGCTGCCCTTTACAAAGCTCACCCAATTTATTCAGAATCTTTTTGGCAAGAGGAAGGCTCATCTGCTCCGGGTTTTCATTCTCTCTGGGATGCTAATTGTTTTTCTTTTGATAGTCTTCTTGTTTTGGCCTGAAGTCTACAATCTGGCCTGCTGAGCTGTGTGTCACATTTGTAAATTAGCTGACATCTGCTTTGAGTTTTATCATCTTTAATTTTCTTTCAGGATCGCTTCACTTATTCATTTTCTCTTTAATTGTAAGAATCAGGTTTTTTTGTTTTTGTCTTGGCTTTACACAAAAAGTATAGACCTTTCTGCTTTGGGGGCATGGACTCAAATGAGTGGAATCACATGGTCCCAGGGTAGACTATTCAAGGAAAAGATGCTGGGAGAGAAGCCCTTAGCAACCATGACAGAGAAGATGAGCTCTGGACACAAAAGGCTAGCTGTCCACACCACACTTCTGAGGTTCCCACTGAATAATTACAATCTGTGAGAAGGAGATTGACAGTGAGGTTGAACTGGGAGAAATGTTTTGAATTTAAAAAGGCTGAGGGGTGGACATATGTGGGCTGAATGCTATTCATTCATTTATTTTTATTTATTTATTTTTTCAGTGCTGGAGATCATCCCCATGCCTCCCTCCCTTCCTACTGTCTCTTCTTCCTTCCTTTCTTCCTTCCTTCCCTCCCTCCCCCTTCTCTTCCTTTAATTCCTTCTCTTTCTTTTTACCTCAGAAAAACAGTAAAGGGAATATTATTGCTAATAGGACTGGGATCATCTGTCAAAGATTAATTTCACTGTTAAATTATTGAGTGCCACAGCCTTGTAACTTTTTTCCACTTTATAAAAAGCTCTCTCTCTCTCTCTCTCTCTCTCTCTCTCTCTCTCTCTCTCTCTCTCTCTCACACACACACACACACACACACACACAAGCTCAAAGATGTTTGTCAGCAACATGTCCCCTAGCTAGGGCATGCCCTTGAGCTTTTCTTCTGGCAAGTGTGTTCATCATGGCTGGAAGAGGTCACAAGCAGGTTGGCTGTGCACACAGTATAAAATTTTCCTCAGTGCCAGCAGCAGAGACTCTAAACTGTGGCTTGAATTCTAGTTGGTCTTAACAATAAAAACCCAGAGTCAGATATCAGGGTTAATGCAGAAGTGTCAGAGAAGCAGGAAAGCCAGCCACCACTTTGCTCAAACCAAAGAGGCAATCCTGTCCTTATGAATCCTCAGACTGAATGCAATGAGCTCCTGTCTCTTCCAGCCTTATATTCCCCTCTCTGCCCAGCCATCACTCCTGTCTCCACCTCCCTAGTGCTGGAATTAAGGGTGTGTACCACCACTGCCTGGCCTCTATAGCTAACTAGTGGCTAGCTCTGCGCTCTGATCTTCAGGCAAGCTTTATTTGTTAAAGCACAAACAAAATATCACCACACTAAACCACGTTTCTGAAACTTATCTGTTTGGGGATTCATAAACATTATTGGATGCTACTATGATAAAGATATTGCTAGGTAAGTCAGGGGTGTGCTATTTTTAAATACTGTATGTATATAGCAGTGGTTCTCAACTAGGGCACTTTTTGTCTCCTAGAGTACATTTAGAAATGTCACAGCTAAGTTCATTGTCACAACTGAGAGAAGATACTGGTGCTATCGTCTAATAAGTAAAGACTTGGGTTTCTGATAAATACTCTGTAATGTACAAGATAACCCCACAAGAATAGAAAGGACTAGATGTGTGCACTGAATTCACTCTTATTCTTCAGTTATAGTCACTCTTTCCAACTAAGCCAACTTTTGCCAGCTCATTCACAACCAGCACCAATAATTTCCTCATGGCCAGTACCCATTGCCATGTAATGTCTTTCCCTTGCTTGATGTGGCTCTTGTCATCTTCTTGCCAGGACAATCTCTGTACTGAGACCAGAGTGGCCTTGAAATGGGTTTGGACTTTACCCCACCATGAACTAAATCCCACAGTGATTCCTGCAGGACAAAATAGAAAAATTCTTAGGAAGGTATGCCAAGTCCACCATGTCTTATCCTGGCCTCTACTCCATCATCATCTCAAATGTTGCTTTTCTTGTAACATACACTTCATTTAAACAATAGGACGCCCATTTCAAAAAAAGGCATGCATGCCACCAAAAATACAGCCTGGTGCTATCTAGTTATTTCCCAGGACTTGCTCCAAAATGCCTCTTATTCTAGATGCTTCTTGGTACCCATTTTACCGCCCCCTCCTTCTTCCATACACAGGTAGAACCCAACATCTCACTGTTCTCCAAGTTCTTTGAACCCATCTTTATCAGTATACTCTTCCTCTAGCGTCTAATTTTGTTCTCTAATTATTTAAATATTTAGTCTACCGGACAGTGACCTCCATCCCCCTGCTTAGATTCCCAGTACAGAATAAACAACTATCAAGAGCTTATTGAATAAACAAATGAACGCTACTTGGCATTGTCATTTGTACTTCACTCTATTTCTTTATCATATTTTTTTCACTTCTTTTAGATATTTGCTCTATTTGGTTTCTATAGATACCTGCCATTCCCAGCCCTGCCGTTTTCCAGTTGTCGTGAAAGCAGCTTGGCAATGTTGGTGAAGCTGTTGCTCATTCGGAAGATGTCCCTGCTGTGAGGGCCCAGGATGGAAGAGAAGGCATCAGTGATGCTCTTAATTTCCAGCAGCAGAATATGGTGAAACGAATGCTCCATGTTAGCCAGCTGGCTTACCAGGTATCTCAGGCAGCTCCTGGCTCTTTCCTGCCAACAACAACGAACAACGACAGAAGTCTTCATGATAATGTAACGGTCAAAATTTCACGAACCAGATCCCTTCAAAGAAATGTGGGTGGCGCTAGCAATGCGAGCACTTTTGAAGACATCGCGTTTTGCGTGGGTTCATGATACGCAACGCGTCACAGAGGCATTGTCTATTCCCGTTAGATAAGAACACAGAAGTGGGGGGGATCTTCATCACGCGTCAGGCACATCGTAGAAGTTGGGAACACATCACAAAAGGAAAAGGGCGGAAACCTGTTGTCATGACTTAGCAGGCAGAGTGAACAAAACACCCACGTAAAGCACACACACAGTGTGTGCCGGGTGGAGAAATGTGCCGCAAAATAAAACACGAAGCAGGAAGAAGAGACCCTGGGAAATTAACTTTAAGCAGTGCACTAGGCACATCCCAGAGAGAAGGTAACATTATATATTTTTTTAAATAATTGAAGCCCAGCAAGCTCATAAACCTTAGTAACAATTAGAGTTAAGTTCACCCTGCTTGATACAGGGTGGGCGGAGCCGGGCCAAATGGGATGTGATATTGTATCTATTGTTTGTCTCACTGAAAGCGCAACTTCCAAACTCCACGTACACTCCTCAGCTTCAGGGTCAGATTCTGCTTTAGGATTCTAAAAAGCCATTCCACAAATATTTAAGTATGCCTGTGGCTCTGTGGAGGGGGCGTCCTGGGCTGCAGATGTAGATCCCTTGCTATAGCAACTTCATAGCACACGTGAGGCCCTGGATTGACCCAGGGATTCTCTCTCCACCCTCCCCCCCCCACTCCAAATGCTTTCTCATCACACACACACACACACACACACACACACACACACACACACACACACACACACACACAAAACCCCACTAGAACATTCTTTTTCTTAGAAGCATTCGTCTTCCTGACGGTGAAGATGCCCGTGTGGATGCTTGCTGAAGCGAGCCTCTTTCTGAATGATCCTCTGGCAGCTAAACCGAGCTGAAGTGAAAATTAATCACATTCCAGGAACAAGAAAAATCTTAGCTGCTTGGGACCCGGCATGTGAATCCACGCCAGCTTCACATCATTTGTTCTGAAACCTTGGAGCGCATCCAGGTTCCTCACAGGGGTAACAGATGTGATCCTGGACGTGAAAGTATGATGTTAGGGCAAGAATGGGGTTACGGGACTCTGACGTCTTTCTCAGCTCCACAGCGTTTTGTCTCTGAGGCTTAGTGACTGCATCTGGCCGTCTCAGTCTTGCCTCAGTGGGGCAAGGTCAGCGGCACTTGTGTGTCGTAATGTGGGCTGGTTGCTGTCGACTCAGGCATGAATTGACAAGAGCAGTTAGTCTAAGTGCCAAGGCTATCCCCCATGCTCTTCAGTTCACAAGAGCAGTTAGTCTAAGTGTCAAGGCTATCCCCCCTGCTCTTCAGTACACAAGCCAATTAGTCTAAGTGCCAAGGCTATCCCACATGCTCTTCAGTACTCAGGGGATCCTTTGAACGATACTGTGAGGTAAGTGATGTGATGGCTATCATTTTATGGGGAAGAAACTAAGGAGAGACTAACATGCTCCAAGCCACACAGCCCCCCTGTCTCTGATTATTGTGTCCTCACTGGCCTTGGCACCAACCCTTCCCTTTGTGGTCTCTCATTTGTCATCACAATTATGCAGTTCCTTTTGCTTAATTGCATTTGATTTACCCGGTAAGCGCCATAAATACTGTGCAAATACATGGTAAAGCCCGTGTATTTACCATCCGTCTTTAAAAACGTGAAAAACATCATACTGCAGAGAAACCCTAAAGATGTAATTGGTGTGGTAAAACTGTGAACTTTGCACATCACAATAATCTTTGAGGACCTGAGAAAGTTCATGCGGAAGGGAATCTTATTATAAAGGATTTGGTAAGATCTTTTCCAACACACATTAAGTTACACAAGATTCTGGAGAGAAAAAAACAATCTGACAAGTGTCAACAATCTGTTCAAGCATTATGATGTCTCTATATGTTTGCACTTGCAAACGCATATGTACAAAAGTCCTACAATTTCATTGGTAAGGTAACCCTTTTTGTTTTCACACTTTTCTTTTCTTTTCTTTTTTGGTTTTTATGAGACAGGGTTTCTCTGTATTGTTTTGGAGGCTGTCGGTCCAGCCTGGCCTCGAACTCACAGAGATCCCCCTGCCTCTGCCTCCCATGTGCTGGGATTAAAGGCATGCGCCACCACCGCCTGGCCACACTTTTCTTTAATTGCATAAAAAACCTCATTCAGATCACTCGAGTTATCTAAATTCAATCCTAAATTGTTGCATTCTGTTACATGAACCAATTCATGATTAAGGGAAACTGTTACTAATACTTTAGTGCCTCAACACTTGGGTTGCAGTAATGAGTGCTTACAAGATAAAATTCAAGTATGAAAATCTGTTTGGTTAGAGATTTTATTGAATTTTAATAATGTGTTGTCAGCGTATGGGTTTGTGACTGTTCATGCATGTTTCCAAGAAGGTTAGACCCTTAAGTTTTTCGGCAGCAGAAACAACATAAAGTTCTCAAAAAACCTGACATAGCTCCTGTCAATGAACTTGTCATTATTTTGCTCATCCATATCTCTAACCCTGTTCATGTTTTAAACCCTTTTTGTAGCATCTTTGTATCAGGTAATGGGGAAGAAGTCATGGAAGAGAAACCCCTCCTTATTCATGTAAACAATTTGGTATAGACTTTAGACTTCATACTTGTGTTCATTTTCAATGTTAGGTACATGTGTTTGTGAAAAAAAATCTCAATTTTCAAAACAGAACTTTTGTGAATCTCTGTAGTGTAGTGTTTGCTCATACGGAAAAAACCCCAGTATTCTCATATCTGTTCTTCACCTGATGCATTATATCTGACCCCATATAGATAATATAGTTGAAAAAATTGGGATTATTTTCAAAATAGCTTGATAATTATGCACCTTCTTCATGGATAGTACATGAAACACAGTAAGTGATGTACCAATATGCAATATTAATATTTTGTACTCTGTCACATTAAAATCTGTCTTGTAGTTTAAATGGGTCATTTACCCATGCATGATATTATAATGTTAAGTATTGATTATTTGGCAAAACATTGGTTCACTACATTAGGCATATCTTCCAAACAGAGAGGAGTAGGGGGAAATTGGGAAAAAAATCATTGAATGGCATGCAAGAATTATCAATAAAAATATTATGTTTTAAAAGGAGAAATCAATAACAATATCAGCAACAAACCATGCAAATCTCAACTGTTCATATAACCATCATTTTTTTTTAAATCAGGAAAGTCCTGGCACTAGGGAAACCACCGTGTTTAGAGTGGCGGGTATAGATTTTCAAAATTCTAATTTCCACTCCAACCTCAGGTTTTATTACCGGCAACTGATAGAGTTGGCAGTCTGTGTCCACGAGTTCAGTATCTGTGGATTCAACTAACTGAAATATTGCAATACTCAAGGGGGCAATGGGCATCTGTACTGCACATGTGCAGACCGTTATTGTCATTGTTCTCTAAACAATTGAGCATGAAATGGCCAGCACAGGACTTACACTGTGTTAGGCCTTCTAAGTCATTTATAGATGATATAACACATGTGAGAGGATGAGCACATTAAGTGCTGTTTTCTGTAAAGGAATTAAATACTCTTGCATCTTGATATCCACAGTCTATTAATCCCTGCCACACATATATTTGTTTTTGTTGTTGTAACAAAATGCTGGACAAGAAGCAACTTAAGGGAAGGGTTCATTAGAACTTACAGCTTAAGGGGATATAGTCCATACACATGAATATAGTCTGACACATTGTATTATTAGTCTGGACATAGGAAAATGACAGGAATTGGGGGGGCAGGCACCGACCTCCTCCAGCTAAGCTCCACTTAAACCCCCCTTCTACATATACCGAGTAGAGGACTTTATTAGGTAGGGTTCTCTAGAGGAAAAAAAAAAAACTTAAAGAATGGATCTATCTGTATGTGTGTGTGTGTGTCTGTGTATATGCATGTATATGTGTATATATAAAGGGGGCCCAGCTAATCTAATAATAGCTGCCCATGAACAGAATGTCCAAGAATCCAGTAGATGGTTAGTGCACAAGGCTGCATGTCTTAGCTGGTGTTCAGTATACTCTGAAATCCCAAAGAAGTAGGCTGCAATGTCAGAGAAGGAATGGACTTCCTAGTGAGAGCAAGAGCAAATGGGGTGGGGTGGGGTGGGGCGGGGCGGGGCAGGGCGGGGCAGGGTGTGGGGTGGGGTGGGGTCTTCCTTCTTCCATGTCCTTTATATAGGCTGACAAAAGAAGGTGTGGTCCAGATTAAAGGTGGGATTTTCCGACCTCAAAAAAAATCTGGATTAAGGTGTGTCTTCCCACTCAAAAGATTTGGGTTAGAAATGGGTCTTCTGGCTTCAAATGACTGAACTAAGAGAAACATCCCTCACAGATGTGCCCAGTCGTTTGAGCTTTAGTTAATTCCAGATGGAGTCAAGCTGACAAGCAAGAATATTCACCACAGTATGCTCCTTATCAGTTTGACACACAACTGCATCTCTTTATGTCGTGGCTAATTTCCAAATGAAAACAATAACTGAGTTGTAATTATGGCTAACATGATATAACTCCCCCTCATACAACTGCAGATGCAGGCAGCAGTGTCCCCTGAGGGACGTTCATTCGGTATCTCAAACTAAAATGTGACAACCACTGATGTTCTCTTAATTGATTTTACACTACAAGGTAGAGAAATAGAGGAAAGAAAACACAAATACTTGTGCAAACACAGTGTTAACTAATGTGACAGAAACACGTCAGTTATAATCCTCGTTTCTGCGACTGGCCACACGGCCTTAGCTGGCATTGATAACCACCTTCCTCTGTACCTGTTGCCCAAACATTGGGCACCTACATCCACATAAAGCCTTAAAAAGCTTTAAAAAGTTTCTAAACACACAAAAACAGAGCCAAAT